AACTGCCCTGCATTTAGACACCGTCAGACTATTTGAAGTGTAATAAACAGTTCCAGATTTTGAACACTACTGTGTCAACTGCCTGCATTCTTTTAACTTAAAGGGGATCTATCACTTCCCAGGATTTGTATCCAATATAAATAGAATAAACATGTTTGTGAGGTTTCCATTTTTTAATTAAATGTAGAATTCTTCACTGCTGAATATCATCTTGCCTCCCTGTCAGCCATTGTTATTAAAAAATCCATTCTTCAAAGAGAGCAGCCAGAAAAGCAGAGTTGTTTTGTGTTTCTTCCTCCAATACAATGTATGCTTTCTCTAGAAAAAAACTGGATGTATGCTTTATCTGTGTAAGGAATAATCTGGATAGATATAAAAAAATAGCACCATAGGAAAATGTTTAACATAAGCTATAGGTTTTTTCAATTATTACTTCGGTGAAATTTTCAGGCAAATTATGTTTCTTACTTTCTAAAGCAAATTAATTTATTTATTTTCATTGCTGAACTGCCACCTCATGAAAGGAAGTGGCCAGTTCGGAACATTTTTTTTCCCAGTACATATCCCCTTTTTTCCATGATTGTTTGCAAAAAGCTGCTGTTAAACAGTGTTAATGCCAACAGCAAGCAGATAGTTGCTTGTTAGTTCCATTTTAAAAGAGGCTGAAAAAAACTTGTCTGTCAAGTTTAGCCTTTCACTTGTCCATATTACTGCAGTTGATTCAAAAGAAAGTGAATGTGACGGACCGCCTGGCACTCTGACCGAGTGCCTCCACCAGTCGATGCTCCTAGTGCTCACCGAGGAATTCCAGCACTCCACCAGACACCATAAGCACTGCAGACCATACTTACAGCGATGCAGCTGCGCCGGGGTCTCGCCGTCCTTCACCAGCTTCCAATGGGCAGACCTCTCCTACTCCCAGAGAGCGTAGCAGGAACAGCTCTTCTTATAAGAGCTAGCTCTTATAATTCCTGGGGAATATAGTGGTATAGCAAACCCCAGGATAAATACAGCCGTTTCGCCCACACATGAGATGAGACTCTATGTAGAGGGTAAGCAGGAACAGAATTTTAATGGAGGCACACTGGCCTTTTATTCAAGTTTCCCAACAAAGGTGACACCCAGGTGGACCTTGTTGGGCACAGGGTCACAAAATGAATAAACCAATAAAAACAGAGGCATACAGTGAGACACTCCCATACACAAACAATAGAATCCCTCCTCTGTGCTTGGGAGATTATTGAATCAGGAACTGTACTAATCTAACCCAATTATCCCCAAGCACAGAAAAACATATACTTGTATGAAACCCCAAAAAGTACCTTAAAAACACACAAAACCCATAAAAGTTACATCCCCTGATAGCCCCGATCTAGGCAGGGCTGGTGCAAGGATTTTTGCCGCCCTAGGCAAAAAAATAAAATCTGCCGCCCCTCCCCCCTACCCCCCATATGTCCTGCCCACCATGTGACATCACAAATACACAGCTCAAGGTCTGGGCCTCCAGGGCCTGACTGTGAGTAGATCTACAAGGCCCTCCCATAAATCTACCTACATGGCCCTCCCATGAGTTCTCTAACAGGGAGTGGAGTGTATGTGTGTAGGGGATGTGTTATGTGTTATTGTAGAGGATGTAATGTGGGTGTGTTCTTATGGAATGTAGTGTATAGGGATACCAATTTGTGTAAGGGATGTAGTGTGTGTGTGTGTGTAAGGAATGCATTGTATGTTTCTGGGTGTGTGTGTGTAAGGGATACAAGGTGTGTTACTGTGTATGTAATATAATGCAGTGTGTGTAAGAGATGCATTTGGTTTCTGTGTGTGTAAGAGAATAAGTGTGTGTGTGCACGTAAGGGATGCATTGTGTGTTTTGGTGTGTCTGTGTGTGAGTAGGGATGCATTGTATATGTGTGTAGTGTAAAAGAGAGGGTTTGTGGGGTAGGATATGGACTGAGAGGGGAGCAGCTCTTTTTTTTTTTTAATAGTGCTCTCCCCTCCTGTCAATTAGTGATCTCCCCTTTTGTCCCTTAGTGCTCTCCCTTGGCCCCCTGTCCCTCTGCAGTCCCCCCTTGGTGGTCTTCTCACTCCCTCCTCTTCCCCCCCTTAGTGGTCCTCCATCTCCCCCACTCTCCCAAACCCCTTTTAGTGATCCTTCCTCCCTCCCTCCCTCTTAGTGGTCCCTTCCCTCTTCCCCGCCTCTCTTTCAATGATCCTTTCTTTCCTCTCTTCCCCCCATTAGTGGTCCTTTTCACCCCACCACCTAGTGGTCCCTTTCTCCCCCCACCACCTTAGTGGTCCTTTCCCTTTCTCCCACCACCTTAGTGGTCCTTTCCCTTTCTCCCCCACCACCTTAGTGGTCCCTTCCCCTCCTCACCTCAGCCATTCCCCAAGTGGTCCTTCCCTCCCTCCCAGTGGTCCTTTCACCCTCCCTCCCCCCCACCCTTTTAGTGGTCCCATTCCCCCTTCTCCCTCCCACCCCTTAGTGGTCCTTTTCCCCCTTCTCCCCTCCCACCCCCTTAGTGGTCCTTTCCCCCCTCTCCCCCCACTCCCAAAGTGGTCCTTTCCCCCTTTTGTCCTATCTATGTAGTGTGGCCGGTCATAAAGGACTTCCAGCTAACTTTTTAAGTACTGGACGGATTTGGCTGAATTTTGGTTACGTTTATATTTAAAGTATGCTGGTTCTGAAAATATATTTGTGAAGATTGGATGTATATTTTTAAAGTTACAGTGTATGTGTAAAAAGTATATTTTTCAGAGGCAGAGGGGAGGATTTTGTGGGAGTGAATGGGTGTGGTTTTACTGTATGTTACGTGCTTTATTGGCTATTTTACAAAACCCTGTGGGCGGTACTGTATCTGTAAAACCTGCATAAAAGAAGGCCCTTTGGTGCCAAGTAAAACCGATCTTCTTGACCCTCAACACGTAGTCTTGTCTCATGATTGGAGGGAGCAGCTATACTCACACTGGGGATTGCTATGCGCTTTAAAGGACCACTATAGTGCCAGGAAAACATACTCGTTTTCCTGGCACTATAGTGCCCTGAGGGTGCCCCCACCCTCAGGGACCCCCTCCCGCCCGGCTCTGGAAGGGGGAAAGGGGTAAAAACTTACCTTTTTCCAGCGCTGGGCGGAGAGCTCTCCTCCCCTCTCCGCCTGTTACTAAGCCAAGCTGAATAAGCGCCAGAGCTGCTGCCAAGATTCAGTTGAATCTCATAGGGAAAGCATTTACAATGCTTTCTATGGATGCTTGCGTGCTCTCACTGTGATTTTCACAGTGAGAAGCACGCAAGCGCCTCTAGTGGCTGTCAATGAGACAGCCACTAGAGGATTAGGGGGAAGGCTTAACCTATTCATAATTATAGCAGTTTCTCTGAAACTGCTATAATTATGAAAAAATGGGTTAACCCTAGAAGGACCTGGCACCCAGACCACTTCATTAAGCTGAAGTGGTCTGGGTGCCTAGAGTGGTCCTTTAATCACTTCGCTCTTGTAAGAGCTTGTTCCTAATACGCTCTCCTGGAGGAGAGGTCTTCCCCACACGGTCCTGGAGGACAGAAGCTGATCCAGGGTGGACAGAAGATGGCAAGACTCCAGTTAAGCTACGGCGGTTGTGGAGTCTGCGGTGGTTGTGGTGTCCGGTGCGGTGCTTGTGGTCCTCGGCGCAAGCTAGGAAGCGTCCATCAACGGAAGGTACTCGGCCGGAGTACGGGGAGTTCCATTACATCTGCTCAGCCAGATAAAAAGTGAAACCTTCTCAAAATACAAAACAAAACTCAATGTACAAGACTTAAATTTAAAAAGGGAGATTTATCGTATTGCAGAGAATTTTCTGTTTTTGGTGTGTTTTTCTGGCTTTTTTGGTGTTTATTTTGGCAAACGAGTTTTCAGGAATGTTATTAATAAGGGGAAAGAGGTACAAGTAGGAGCGAGGGTGAGACAAAATTGGTGAAAGATAGTGGATGACAAAAGACAAACAGAGATGAGGAGAGAAACACGTGGGGGAAAGTGGCACATGGGGGAAAGATACTAATGAGGGAGAAATGCGGGTTAATGGGAATGACAAATAGATTTTAAAAAAAAGTGTTGGGGGATGTGGGAATGAAAAATAAATACACTAACTTGCAAACACACAAATATACATTTACAGTTACACATAAATACATCTAACAAATAAAAGAGCCTTTACCAGCATGGTGTGGAAAAAGGGTCATTATCAGTTAGGTGGCAGTGGAAATGCAGTAGGATTTGGCTATACCCTTTATGAGTAAAACTTCTTTTTATGTTGTCCCTGGCAAGAGTGATGGGCTTTGGGTACATTATCGCTACAAACGATAAACTGCAGTAGCCATGAAGTGTGATTGTAAAATTAGAGAGAGGAGGTCTCCAATGGCAGAAAATGCCCCATCAGCATTTATTTTTGTCTAGCAGCAGGGGCTGAGTAATCACCTCTACTGTGTCAATCAATGCCTGACATCATGTGGTACATGTGAATTTGTATATCTGTCTCTGTATCGCCGTATGACTGTGTATGTATGACTCTAGGTGGGGATGGAGGTATTTGTTATTGTTTACATGTTTGTAAGTGTGTTTGCGTGGATGTACATGTCCACTATTTCAAATAAACTAAACCCAGACATGCACCTCTAGAGTTTATTCTGGCTCTGCACCTACTAGCTGCTTACAACCCCTTATTTTTCGCTGCTGAGTAATAAAGAAAACACAACACATTACTAATGCCACATTTTCAAAAATTTAATGGTTTGTAATTAACAACATGTTTATTACAATATTTGATGTTTTCTGTTTCAGTAATGCAAATAAATAACATATACAAATTAAAATACTTTCAATACTGCATACAATAAACATAGATAATGTAAAAATACATATTTCTGATATATGGCACTTGTTAATTGCCTCGTAACTCATAATGATATGAGATTCTTAATATACTTTAATAATTAAAAGTTGCTTGTTCCACACTGACCAAACAGTGTCCAAAGAAAAGTATGAAAAAGGAGCTAGTTCATTTTATTATTTTAGCAATAGTTCCAACCAAGCACATAAAAACACACAATGGATTTAGTGACTAAACTGGGAAAAAGTAGAATTGAATATTTTGTTGAAAATTTTTCTTATAGTTCAATTCTTTTGTAATTTTTTTTGTCCGTTTAAGCAGCAAAGCATTTCAGATTATTTTGTGTCACATGAACTTGTAGAGGATTCAATAAAATATAAAACCAAATGTTTAACAAATAATTGAAAAGTTGATGGATTGTGTATTTGAGCCAGAAATTATTTGACTTGGATAAACCTAGCAGTGATCAGCTGATTCTCTCATCCAAAGAGCTAATGCTGGGAGGTGGGCATTCGGTTGTGATTATTTTGTTTGGAGTGTTAAAGATTGAGGAAATGAGACTACGGCTCCCCTGTTACTGTAATGGAGGCGGGAACTCTCCCAAGCAGGCCTCAAGTAAGAAATCATATTTGACTCCTTACAAATAGAGAGGTCCATGGCACTCCTGTCACCATAACTACTACAGCGTGCTGTAGTGGTTATGTTCTTAGAGTGCTCCTTTAGAGTAAAGGAGTTCATTTTCATATTTCATTTCTGGAAAATGCAATGCAAAATTATACCACGAGCACGTATAGATAATGGCCTCAATTACAATTCTGGTATCAGTAACTGATCGAATATATTTTCTGTTATTTGGATGGTATTGCTTCACACTTATCAAATCCATCACTATTTTTGTGCTGATACTGCTACCCTAGTCAAATAAGGGTTTTGTCTTAAACAAATGCTGGAACTGGGATTTCGTCTTTAATCATGCAATGTTGAACTTGATAGGCCAATATTAATACAAGTTTTAACAAGTTTTCACTTACATCACAGGTTGACGGTTCAAGTCAGACAAATGCATTGGTGCTGCTAAGAGGTGATAGGTGTGCTGTTGCTTGTTCAAGTCACTGGTGGTGTTTGCAGTGTTCATTCTTCTCGTGAAGGTTATTCATTAGAAAAGTCCTTTTTATGTACTTTGAGGTGTGAGATTTTGATGGTCTTGTTAAAGTATCAATAATTGTTCGGCAAGGTTGTGATCACCAAAACATAAGTGTTTAATATAAGGTATAGTGCCATTTTTCACTATACTAATTATACTAAAAGTGTTGCCGGAACAAATCAGAATTGTGAGATTGCGATCACATCGACATTGTTATTGGCTCATTGGCTGCCATTAATGTGTCAATAAATATTGAATATGAGATTGTAATTTCCCTAGTTGCATTTATATTACCTTGGTGCTATAAATTATTTCCTGAACATTTTAGATATTTCAATCATGATAATGCTGTTGACTGATGGACATTGGCCCTCTTTAACGTATTGAAAGAATCTTGCTCCAAGGCATAGATTAATAAGCAATTGACTCACTTGTTTCTCAGTCTCAAGTAATGTGCAGTGAGTAGAAAAGCAAAATTTAAATTAATATATAATGCAAATCAATAAAAAGGGAGATTAGATGTGATTGTGGGTAACCAAGTTTAACAAACACACAAAAATGTTCCACCCCTTCCATTCATACTAAGGAAAGTGCTTGCAAAATGTAAAAATAAAAACTAAAATACAATTTAAGATTTTATAATTACTAGTTATATAATTTCCCATATACATGAAATTTAGCAAAACATCAAAGGAAGGTCTGTGATAAGTTTTTTTTTTTTTACAAAAATGTTTTTTTTGTTCAAACTTGCATACATTCAGCTATTTTTGCAAAATGGCTAGCTTGACCTGGCTTTTGAAATTAATTTTGTTTTCGGTTCACCAGTAGTGAAAAAAAAACTATTAAGTTTTCATTTGCATAAATTAATTGTTCAGTGAATAAATCTGTTGGTCATCTGTTTGTAGATGAGAATAAATTATTATTCATATCTCCAATATCTCTTGCTCAGTTAGTTATTAAAGGACCACTATAGGCACCCAGACTACTAGGTTTAACCCATTCTGCTGTAAACATAGCAGTTTCAGAGAAACTGCTATGTTTACCTATGGGTTAATCCAGCCTCTAGTCTCATTGACAGCCGCTAGAGGCGCTTCCGCGCTTCTCATTGTGATTTTCCCAGTGAGAAGATGCCAGCGTCCATAGTGCCGCACATGCGCATTCAGCCGATGACGGAAGAAGAGGGAGGAAAAGTAAGTAAGGGATTAACCCCTTCCTCCCCCTTCAGCGCCATGGGAGGGGGCCCTGAGGGTGGGGGCACCCTCAGGGCACTATAGTGCCAGGAAAACGAGTATGTTTTCCTGGCACTATAGTGGTCCTTTAATGTGGCTTTTCTAAATATGTCTTTAAATTTATATTGGAGGTTTCATGGCATTTATTATGTAAATACATTTTTATTTAGTCCATTCACGTTTGTGTTTTTTTCACTAATTTATTACTTGTGTTTAGCTGACATATGACTGGTTAGTGAATGTAACCGAGACAAGAGACCTGAAAATTTCAAACATAGTTCCAGAATAAATTATAGGAACTATATTGTCTTAAAGGTAGACTGATAAATAGTAATGGGTAATGGGTGTTCTTTTTGACTCCAACCTCTCCTCACCCCTCATATCCAATCAATCAACAAATCCTGTCGCTTCCATCTCAAAAACATAGCGCGCATTCGCCCCTATTTAACCCCAGATGGGGCTAAGGTGCTAGTCCATGCTCTTGTTCTCTCTCGCCTTGACTACTCCAATACCCTTCTCAGTAATTTTAAGTGTTCCCAGATTGCACCGCTGCAATCTATAATGAATGCGTGGCGAGGCTCATTTTCCTGTCCGCTCGTACCTCCCACGCCTACCCGCTCTGTCAGTTCCTGCACTGGCTTCAAGTTAAATATAGGGCTCAATTTAAAATTCTGGTGCTTGCTTACAAGTTCCTACATAATGCTGCTCCAACCTACCTATCCTCCCTAATACACAAGTATGTCCCGTCGCGGCCCCTACTCTCTGCCAAAGACCTACGTCTATCCTCTGTCCATACTCCCACCTCTGATGCTCGCCTCCAAGATTTCTCCAGGGCTGCACCTTTTCTGTGGAACGCTCTTCCCTTCTCCGTAATACTTTCACCCAGTCTCCACTCATTCAAAAAATCATTGAAACCTCAATTCTTCAAGAAAGCATATCATTTAAACTGTTAGCAGGTTTTTATCCCCCACCCCCATGACTCCTCTCCTGCAACTGTCAAAAATTACCTACTTAGCCCTCAGTGAATACTTTTCTAACAACCTACTTTGTACTCCTACTTTTACCCTTTGTGTCACCATACCCCACTCCCTCTAGAATGTAAGCTCATTGAGCAGGGCTCTCCTCCTCTCTGTTCCTGTTTGTCAAATTGTATGGTTAAAATTACATGTCTGTTAGTTCACCCAATGTACAGCGCTACGGAATGTGATGGCGCTAAATAAATAATAAAATAATAATAATAACAATTTTAACAAACTACAAACAAGACCAAAAAACGCAAAATTTACAGATGACTTAAATAACACATGTATCACACAATCTAATGGCATTTATAAGTCAAATTCATTATCTAGGGACACTTTCTTAAAATGTCCTAAAGGTGTCAAGATCATTCTGTACAAGGTTCCTTTTAAAGAATACTTATTGTGCTGGAGATATGCTAAGCTGGAGAATATTCTCTGTATTGGTGGACACTACTCCAGTTTCCACGTTTTCTACAGAAGCTCTTAAGTCGGTAAAGTAAATGTGTCTTTTAAGCAACACTTGGAGGAGAAATAAAAAAATAAAAATAAAAAATCTGAGTAGGGCTTTGATGGGGAAACTGTATGGTGCTATTAATAACTGATTCAACTGACATCCTTAAAATGGGATGAATATCCCAGGGTTATTCACTAAAGGGAGAACTGCTAAGAATTCAAAGTGAATTAAAAGTGAATTTGGGCCAAAATATCTAAATAAGAGAAAATTCCCCAAGTCAATCCTGTTTTTAATTTTGCTAGTTTTGCCTTAAATCTGTGCCATTTTGAAGTCCCGGCATTGCTCACTTTTGTAAGTAACCCTGTATGTCTTTTATGCGTTCAGACGCACCATTAAAAAATGTACTTGTTATTTTGCATACATCGTAAGCACTTACACTTTATTATATGTGCTTTTTGAAAGAAAACGCAAAATGAAAATTTTTGTGTAATAATAACTTTAGTAATACTGTTTACTAAAGAGCATCTTGCATTTAGTATATTAATTTTTGCATTTCATTTAAGACAATGTATTAAGCTGTATCTAATGAAGAAATTGTAAACTACACTAAAGGCATAATGCAGGGCAAAATAAACATGTTACATGCAGTTAACAAATTATGATTACATGATGCACTATCAAGGAGAAGCCAAATAGACAACAACTAAGACATATGTAAGCTCTTTTGTATTAGTTATTTGTTTCATTAAAAAAAATACTAATGGCAGATATCTTCTGCAAAAGGCCACCATTTATTTTAGTGCTGAATTTAACAAATCAAAAATGTTGTGACTATTTCTATCTTATTTAATTATTGTTATCCCAAATTATCTCATAAAATATATTTTATTTTGTATGAAAATTTCAACTTCAGATAAAAACACGAAGTAGATGTGGATAGTTCTCTTGTGCTTCAAACTGATTTTTGACGGGTTATTGGCAGCGGATGTGCTTCAGTATTAAATACCCAGTCTTCTAATGATAACAAGTCATCATCTGAAAACAACAAATAGAGGTATCTAAAAAAAAACAAAAAAAAAAAAAACAACAACCGAGAGACTGTTATTACAAATCATCAACTGACACGTGAAGTAAGTGAAAAAAGGATAAAGTATTTCTGCTTTAAATGGGAACTGTCACTTTCCAGGATTTTTAATACAATTTTTGCTTATCCCATACATAACAAGTATTAAAAGGAATACTCCAATACTCCAAGTACCATACCCACTACAGTCCGATCATCATTGTTTTCCCCACAAAAAGACAATGAAAACACAGAGGTAAAATAGTAGATGACCAAATGAACCAACAACACACAGTGGTATTGTGAAAGCCAAGTTGTGGATACTTACTTTAATGTTTCTGACATGAAAAAACTTTGTTGAACATTATCATGGTTTGGTGTTGTAGTGTAAACATCTCTAATCCCAGAAAATCCACTCTCAGTCCGGCAATACTTATCCAGAGCCTGGAAAAAAGCATAAATACACTTTTATATTTCATATAATTGAATCAACACAAGTATTTAAACTGTATGTAACGCTTTCAGATTTTATGTAGAACTACCTTTTTTTTTTTTAAAGCTGCACTGCTTAATGAATATGTGAATCTAAATTTGTTGGTTTTGCTAGGGTTTTGTTATGTATAAAGTGAATAAACCACTAGAAAATATTTGGATATTTGGTAGTTTCTGTCAGTTATGGATATTTTTTAAAGTGAGAATTGTCAAGTATTTAATGTGACTTGTCAAGTATTTAATGTGAACTTCAAATCTAGGTCCAAAATAGCTAACTTGGAAAATTATTCTAGTTTGGCTATATTGTCCTTAAATGTGAAATTCGCTTTGGATTCTTGACAATTCTTACTGTGGTGAATAACTCTGCTTGTTTGTCGGTGTTTGACAGTAAATATCCATTCAAGTAATACTGATATTTTCCTACCTGTACAATTTCCCAGCCCCATTCTCTGTATCTGGGGTCATGTGTCAATCTCCACAAGTACACATAACTTTCCACCACTTCTGGACGTAAAAGGTAATATCTTTCACTTAACCGAGTTGATGTGGCTTCAGCTCCAGAGTCAAACCTAAATACTTCAGGTCCAAGTTTGGTCTCTAAAAAAAACAACCCAAAACAAAATATTAGATTATGCAAAGTGATTTAATCCTAAATGGCAGAGAATTGATCAGTTAGACTAAAGGAGCATGATCAATACCATGTCTCCCAGGTGTTCCCATTTAGGAGGGACAGGCCCTATTTTGCAGACATGTGCATTAGTTTTCGTAGGAACAGGGCCGGCTGCTGGGGACGCCCACGCCCACCGGGATATAACAAAAAATCCATCTTCACCCAGCGAGTGCACCGCACAGACTGAGCTCCACAAGGCGGGGAAAGGCTTATAAAGCCTTCCCACACCCTGCAATTTTACCCAGAGCACTCTGATTGGTTGAGGCCAAGCCAACCAATCAGAGTGCTCTGACAGGTAAATGAAGAGACTGACAGGTAAGTCTCTACATTTACCTGTCAAAGCATTCTGATTGGTTGGCTTGGAATCGAGCCAATCAGATTGCTCTGAGTCATTTTACACAGCATGGGAAAGTTCTTTGGACCATTATTTATTTAATTAAGGTCCCCACCTGCCGGTCATGGGTGGGGACCTGTGGGGTACAACAGGTGATCCCCATTTATTTATATATTTAAGGTCTCCACCAGCCAGTCATGGGAGGGGGCCTGGGGGGGACACTAGGTCCCCCCGTTTATATTAATAGCCCCCACCCGCGGGTCACTATTTCTCCCCCATTTCCCCCCCATTTTTTTTATTTGGGTTCCCCACCATGGTGGAACAGCACTAGCGACAGGGCTGCAATAGCTGCCCAGTCATTAGTAGTTTTAAATGACAGCGAGCAACCACTGGCTGTTTAGGCGACATGCCCGAGTAGGGGCATGTGGGAGGATTTAACCTCCCTTTTATTAATATGGGGGTCATAGTGATCCCTATAGGTTTTAATGCGGAGGGGAGGGGGGTAGTAATTAATATTATTTAAGGAGTGAGCTGGTAGCACTAACGCATCCCTCCTTGCTTTTTGTTTTTTGTTTTGCACATGCGCAGTGGTATTTTCATTCTAATGGACAAAAACAAGTTATTTTTTTTAACCAAATTTCATCCGAAAACAAATGGTTTACGAATGAAATTTGGAATGGACAGATTACATTTTTATTTAGTACGAATTAATTCATACAAAAAGAAATTTCACTAGTGCACATATCTACTATTTTGTATCTAAACCCCTATGTCCCTCTTTCCTATCCTAATGACCTTCTTTTTTAGAAACTTTTTTTTTGGTATGTCTAACTGTATAACAGAGTTTCACTGCAATAATACTCCCAGTATTGTGTCTTTAAACTACTTTAAGTGTTTAGAAATTAGCCTGGTTAAGGAAAAAACACTGTTATTGTTCTAAATTACATTTTATTTGCATAAATTATAAGTAATTCGCCTACAAATTCTCAGAAGAGCCTCACCCCTGGACACTCCCTCACACACAAAATTTATCCCATATATAACACAAAATGTAAAGTGTCCCTCTTTGTCCGTATGAAATGTTGTGAGAAATGTCTATACACCTAAACCACCCAATTAAACTAAGATTGTTTTGGTGCTTAAGGTGTCCTTTTTGGCCTCATATTCATGTTATGTTTCACGTTAAGATTATATTAGTTTTATTGAGATATTTTTTTTTCAAAATCCACTAGCTTCCAAACTTGTCAGGACTCCAATTGAAGTAACTGTATGAGTGAGAGGATAGTATGTTACTTTTTTACCTAGAACCTCAATCAATTTATAAATTAGTAGAGGGATTAAGAGAAACATCGTTGCCAGGATTTTGTGGTTCTCTGCCTCCTACTTGCATCTGTTTATTAGGAAACCATTTATTATAGCTGAGGTTACTAGATTTTTGCAGTATTTTGCTTTAGTGTAGCGGTTACTCCTCTATTCAGTAGACAATCTAGCTCAGAGACCCCTGCATTTTATCAATAATGAAGGATGTCATTTAATATGTTGCAAGGAGTTAAATGAACTCTATAAGAACCCAAACACTTTATCACAATGAAGTAGACTGAGTGCCATGTCCCCTGGTCTTAACCCTGAAGCTGAAAGCTTTGCCATTCTATTGAAATGGCAGTGTTTACATTGCAGGATAAACCTGCCTCTAGTGGCTGCCAGAAGGTGCTTCTCTGAAATAGCAGAGTAATACACTGGGGAAACAGGCACAATAAACAGAGCTGAAGGAGCATTGGCACTGGAAAAAGATAAGTAGAAAACATTTTTTTTTTAAATTAATTGTTTGGAACACACTTGGGGAGGACCTCTATACCTAGGAACAGGCACACTAAAATTTTAAGAATACAGGTTTGTTTTCCTAATGCTCTAGTGTCCTTTAATACAGTCATGTTCTTATCATTGTGAATATTTCACATACATCTTAAAAATATAAACATACTATGTAGTGCAGGCCATCTGCCATATTTGTGCGAATATAATGCGCCATTGAATCTAATGCACATTCAAATTTTGGAACCTGGAAGCCTAAAAATGTCTTCTCTGGCGAATGTAATGCTCATTTGTACAAGAAGATGCTACTGCTGTGAGATACATGGTACAGCTTACTATACACTGATACCAAGTCTTACATCCCTGTCTCTGTGATGCAAATGCGAATTTTGCCACAGCGATTTCGCATTGTATGCCCATCGTATCTCTGATCAATTGTTGTCTGCTGTATACTACTAAAATAGTTTTTCTTATTACATGCTACTTTTTAAAGGGACACTATTGGTACCCAGACTACTTCAGCTTATTGAAGTGGTCTGGGTGCATGCAATACACTGCAGTTCCATCAAAACTGTAATGTTTATATTGCAGCTCTAAGTCTGACTTCAGTGGCTGTCTACCTTTTTATTTACCATGGAGCCAGGGGCGTGAGGGAGGGGAGATGATAGTGCCAAGAATACAGCTTTGTATTCCTGGCACTATAGTATCCCTTTAAGTTATAAGAAGATAACCAGACAGGAAATGCAAATTTCACCCTGACTAAATTCCACTTCCATGTGCTGGGAGAGAGCTGAAAGGTATCACTAAGGGGATATATGAAAGTGCTGACTTCTGCTGAAATCCTCACTTTTGTAAAATAAGCCAGAGGGGACATGCAATTAAACCTTAAAGCACCTTGCAGTGTTCCTTTACTAAATAAAGTATCCGAGTATTGCAAGTTTGTGTTTCTTCACTCAGTGTCCCTTTTTATCTAATACTAGGTATAGGTTGCATAGATAACATTCTGACCCAAATTATGCGGCAAGCAGTAAACCTGACAAGGATAGATACTGTTCTTTACAGCATACCTTTTTACAGTACAGTTTGTACTCTACTGTATTATTTTATAAAATAAATATATATTTGTTCTTATTTATGTCAGTATATCATTGTTTTTATTTCCCCATATTCTTTTTTCCATCTTGTACTATGTAGTTTTCCCTTTTTCCTCTGTCCTTTGCACCCTTTTCAATATAGAGTCATCCCTTTAACCTACTTTCTGTCCGTTCTCCAACTTTTACCCCTTTAGCACATTTCTTCATTAGTATTGAATCATATCCCTGCCTTGATGTACTGCGGGTCATTTAAAAGTCAGCTGGACCAATCTTAGATTGTCTGGTTGAGATATACAAATGCCTCTGTGTGTAATATCACAAGATCTATATCTGAAAATATAATTTACATTTAAATTGAACAATTATTTATTTTGCCTGCAGTAAAGCTAAATAGTATAGTCCAAATTTCAAAAGTGTAGTTGAAGAATTTATTTCTGTAAAAATTTATAAAAAGTTTACCACCAAAAAAAAATAATGAAAATTAGCATTGCTGTATTTGCTTAGTTATCATTTCCCCAGATATTTGTTTCACTCAATCAGTACTGTAGTAATGGGGCTGGTGCTCAATGTGAGTTGGGAAGGAGGGGGGGGTGAAGTAGGGAACAAAGGACAGAGAAAGAAGATGAAGAAAAAAAGGAGGGGGCAAGGAGAAAAGAGAGGGGGGAGAGGAGTGCTGACGTCTGTACTTCCTCCGCTTGGGTTTGTTCAGTGCTGTCTATGGTTACTGATTAGTGAGGAATCTTGTATAATCGGGCAATGATAGGAACTCTAACCAGTAAAACCATCATTGGGTGTGTCTTTCACAGTCTTTGGCTTTTGTGTCTTCCACCTCTTCAACCCATCTGTATAGTGACGGCGCTCGTTGTTTTCTCCAGTATATTAGGATCACGACTTTTGCTGCATTCAGTAGGCGTGGGATCACGGATTGTTTGCAGCTTTGCATCCCTGGTTGAGTGTGGTGAAGCAGGTAAATGGCTGGTTCCATCATGGGAGACACCAAACGATTTTTGGACTCAAGTCTCAGTTATTTTTTGATCCTGATAATACCTGATAAGGGTGTCAAGCTCAGTGTGGAACCAAAACCCACAGACTATAACACAACAAATAGATAAGATGAATACCGATCCTTAGAATGATCGGGTAAACTGCAGAGTAGGCAGAAAGAAAGCCGAGGTCAAGAACAGGAGAGATACGGATAAACGATATGAGCAGCCAAAGTCAAAGGATACCAGAGATTAGAAGAAATGAGAAAACGGACCAAACTCAGAAACCAGTAATAGGAGAAATCAGGAACACACTCTTGGGCTGCTAGAACCACAAGAGGGCAACATGGAGTGGGGGAGGTGAGTATAAATAGGTAGCGCCTATTTTCTATTGGTCAAACTAGAGTTATGTATAATTCATGGGCAATAGAACTACTGTTTAGCATAATAAACGTCATCGTTGTGTGCCGAATTTTGTCAGACTAATTCACTAGTAGATCCCGAATTCGCAATTCTTGCCCGAATTCATCTGCCCATAAAGCCCTGAGGTGTGTGAGTATGCAACAAGGCACAGAGAATGCCAGGGGACTCGGATAAGAAAAAGATAAGAGATCCTGACAAAGGGGGAGACACAAAAGGGGTAAGAGGTGGAGTTAAGAGGCACACAAAGAGTAGTAGGGATAAGAGACACACTATTGGTTAAGAGGTTAAGAAAGAAACACAATAGAGTAAGAGGGGTTAGGAGGCACACACAAGGAGATGAGAGGGTGCAGGGACAAACAACAATACACAAATCATGACGTATATGAAGTCACATGAATAGTATAGTGTCTACATTTTTAAACACTAGATAAATAAAGGAAAGACTGGATAGGAAGAATTCATTTCATACCTGTACGTACATAAGATTCATGGCATGTACGGGCAATCTCTGACGCTAATTTCATATAATGATCTTTCTTATTTGCTGGTGCATCGTGTGCTCCAAGAGCCAACATGCCTGCCGCAAAACAGGTTAGATGACCCATTTTGTGGTCCAGAATGCCTCCTCTCCACTCAGCAATGTACGTCAGACCTCCAGGAGACCTTTTGATAAGATGCAATTCTATTGCCTGAAACATTATGAAAGTCATGTTAGAAATTACCTTAATCAGTATATATATGGGTGGTTGGCAACTCTGCTCAGTGCTGTAATGCTGATGGTTTTCTGATGCAATCAATTATTGTGTTTTCACACTCTTCATTTTTATAGTGGGCATGAACGGTAGACGTTGCAGTTTTATACTCTTACTGACTATAGCTGAAGCAATTGGCAGAAATAGTACTACTCAGAGTTATTAAAAGGGTGTCATATGGCTTTCCCTAAACTTGCAGCGTTTCATTTATCAGCATTAACCGCAATATAACTATAAAAAAATATTATATTTGGCTTGAACATTATGCATGGAATGTAGTTTTAAAAAAATCATACTTTTACAGCTTCATAATACATGTCCTTAGCTTCATCATCTCGTTTTGCTGACATCAGCCAAGATTTGATTAAGTATTCATAGAAGCTGTCACCAAGCCCTCCAAGTGACACATGATCTGCGGAGAGAGAAGTGACAAGCAATTTATACAGGACAGGAGATGAGGAACGTAATCTGGCATTTAATTTACATGGATGCCCAGCTTGTTTTTATGCATTTATGATTAAAGGGTATTCAATTCAGCTTTGTTTTTAATGTTAGCATTGTAACATCCCTGGCACACAGTCAAATTATACAATTTATAACCAATCCAGCAGAGGTTTGCCTGCAATCGGTACTGTAAGCACATACTACTTGCTATGCAAGTGTATGCACTGCACTAAACTGCACACACAGCTGAATTTGCACATGATTAAACTCTTACTAGTGAATGTCACTCCGTGTTGTCCCTGTTCGTGCTGTTTTATATAAGCTCTTTTGAGCAGGACCCTCAACAGCCTCTGTTTCTGTGCATCCTAAGCATCTTGTTGCAAATACTTTTCTGTTAGTCCACCTATTGTACAGCACTGCAGAATCTGAAGGCACTAATAATAACGACAATAATACTGCTCTGTGATACACGTGTGCTTGTGTACTGTTATCCTAAACAATGCATATCGTACCTCCAGGGCCAGAAACAGAACCATTTATAATTAGAGGGTCAGAAATATTTTCTGAATTTATTCTGTTTTCAATTTGGTTATTTTGACTTCAAATTTTAAATTGACCAAAAACGAAATAAGTACCTGAATTTACTTTAAACATTCATATTTTTAACATATTCAATTATTGAAGGTTATGTTTTATTATGCTTTTTGCCTTCTTCCTTTGTCAGTATATAAGTGGTACATATTGTTATATGTGTTTAAGTTGGCAAGCTCTTTTTTCAAAATGTTAAATTCAGTTCAATGCCTGACATTTCCAACTTTAAGGTCTAACCCTGTTGGTTCTGCAAGTTTCATGGTAAATTAGCTTTAAAATAATTGTGTAGCTTATTTTATTATTTTATTCTCCATCTTATCACTCCACAGTACAACTGGCACTATTAACACATACTGAAAACACATATAGAATAGAAGCTATAGATATTTAGGCAAACAGAATCTAGGACAAACAAAAAAATAGTTTCTACATACGTTGCACCCAGTTACCACTGACTGGACTGAAGTAGTTAGGGTAGAGTCCATGAGGCTTCTCAATTTTATTTAATATTTTCCGAATGGTATTAACCTGAAGAAATAGACATAAACTGCATTAATTAGTTAAAACAGCTATTAATAATGGCAATGAAATTGTGGATATCTTGTATATTTTTTACTGTCCAAAGCTCTTACTTAATGATATCATAAGTCATATTTATGTCCTCTGGCCAAATATAAAACAACTATTAAGAAAAGATAATGCACCCTCTGCTGTAATCCCTATTATAATAACTCTTTTAAAAGCAAAAGATCCATAATATAACCATATTGCCTGATGGTTTAGATTATTCAATTCACCATACAGCTTTGTCTTGAGGACACTGTTATCATGGTGATCGGGTATTTCATTTAATGTAAGTGTACGTACCTTTTCTGTAAACACTGTGTCCCCAGACAACTCACTGAGCTGCAAAAATTCCAAGTGCAAAGTGCCAAATTCAGCTAAAATACTGCTTCCTGCAGAGGCCCAGCCCCAACTCCAGTTAAGTCCACTGAAAAATAGGTTATAATATATATAAAACAATACAAAACAAATAACCATACAACAAGAACATTTCAATGAGTATAGAGAAATCATTGCAGTGATTTGTACATCAGATAACACAGCACTTAGCTCTGTATCAAAGAAAGCTAATCGTCATTAAAATCTTTGAGTACATTGTAGGATGTGTAAAAAATAATTGCCTGCAGAACTGAACTGAAGAACTGAAAACCATAGAGTACAAAAGAGATTCAAGTGTCTCCATCTCCTAAGTTATAGTTTTGATTACTCTTTCATAGTTACATAGTAATATAGCTTGGAAAAAAACCCTCAAGTTTTACATATCTGTGTTTCTGCTGTTGATCCAAATGAAGGTAATAAAAACTGAACTGGCAGACAAAAAAAATTATCTGTTGTCTTTTGGAAAAAACACTAAACATTTTGAGATGAGAACAGAACTCCACAGCAATAATACTCATTCCACTGGGGTTTTATCAACTAGTCTGCAAGTAGAGTTCCAAGCTGGCTAATATTAATTCTGTGCAACTTGCATTGCACACTGTCTGTCATTGGCTGAGAGCAGTCAGCTGACGCTCTCAGTCAATGTATGGTGACTGCCATGGCTTCTGCAGCTCTGCAGAAGCCAAAAGCATGTCACCGGACCAGCAGGAAGGAACCCAGGTAAGGGCTATACAGTTTGCTACAATTTGCTCCATTAGCAGAGAACTAGGCAAGGCACCATACCATACCAGCTTGCTGTAGTGGTTATTATGATTGAAGCAATCCTTTAAAGGTATACTTCAAGCACCGTAACGCCTACAGAAGTTCTAAAACAGTTTGTGCTAGATCACTCCTGGCAACAAACCCATTACAGCCAGCTGTAGTGATTATGGAATTTGGAGTGTTCTTTCAAAGTAAAAGACATTAAATATGTTTACAATTAGTCTGTATAAAATAAGATACTTTATAATTGTTCTTCGTGTACTGTCACTCGAATAAAGGTAAAAACTGTTTGTCATACTGTAAAATGTATTTTAACGTTAATTATGTTACATTTGAATTATCCGTTGTTTGCTAATTTTAGATATGTAAAGAGGTCTGACTATAATGTCATGTGCACAATAAGTGTCTCTGGCTAAAAAAAAAGTATTATGAATTATGCCATGCTTTTTCCATCTCCCTCTATAAGGTTCCCACTATCAAATTAGAAAAGGAATTAAGAGTTATACAGATATCACATCCCTTTTAATGGGACAATTTCAAATGCAAGCACATTACCAGTGTTTTAGCATGTTTCTGTGTTAAATGTACTGCTTTTGTGTTCAGTAATCGGTACCAGCCTTTAAGAAGTGTATTTTTAGAAAGGTGAGAATTTCCACAGGTTCAAAAAAGCTTAATGTGGTAAGGAAATAGAATTTATAACGCCTAGAGAGTGTGTAACATGACTACATATAATTTATGACATATTCATTTTAAATAAGCATAAAAAGAAATACAAGTTTTGAAGTCCATCCACCGCAAAACAACCAAGAATGGAAAGGAAGTAGAAAAAGAAATAGAAATTCTCAAGAAAATTTGTGCAATTTATCTTTCATATTATAATATGCATTGTGTGAGCAGGAATATCCTTTCTCTGTATTGTACCATTCATAAATATAATAATGAAAGCTCTGTGAGCAAAGGTTTTGTACTATTTATAATAGTATGAAAGCTCGAGAGCAACCATTGTTCTCTCTGTTGTGCCATTCATATAAATATGAAAACTCTGCAAGCAAAATAACCTCTTATGAGAGCTGGCCATCTAGCCAAACTGAGCAATCGGAGTAGAAGGACCTTGGTAAGAAAGGTGAAGAAGATCACGATGGTCACTATGGGTGAGCTCCAGAAATCATGTATAGAGATTGGAGAAACTTGCAAAAAGACAACCCTGCAACACTCCAGTGATCTTGCCATTATGGCAAACTGGCCAGACAGAAGCCTCTCCTCACTGAAAGACACATGACAACCACTTTGAATGTGCAACTCTCAAGCTGTAAGAAAGAAGATTTTCTGGTCTGTTAAAATGAAGATTGAACTTTTTTTGCCTCAATTCAAAGCATCATGTCTGGAGAAAAACCAGGCACTGCTCATCACCCGTGCAATACTATCCCAACATTGAAGCATGTTGGTAGTAGCATCATGCCTTTTTTGTTTTTCAGTGGCAGGGATATACAATATACGATATGATATACAAGAAATACGAGATATGCTTAATTAAAACATATTCTGTGGCACTCAGGACATTAGACTGGGCCAAAGGTTCAAATTCCAACAGGACAATGACCCTAAGCCCAGAGCCAATACAACACAAAGGGTGGCTGAGGGATAACTCTGTAAATATTCTTCAGTGGCTCTAATCGTACATCTTTAGAAAGACCTAAAACATTAATGTCCACCGATGGTTCCCATACAGCCTGACAGAACTTGAGAGGACATGCAGAGATGAATAGCAGAAACTATTCAATTTCATGTGTGCAAAGTTTGTTGCGTCATACCGAAAAAAAACCTGGGCCTGCAGTTACTTCCAAAGGTGCTTCAAGTAATTACTGAGTTAAAGGTCTGAATACTTGTCAATCTGCCATGAGATATAGCTCTTTGGGGATTGAGGACATTGAACATACACAACTGCAAACTAATCACACATCTAACCAGATCCCAAATATCTGAGATTGGCAATGAAAGTATGTATTAATTCAGGGGGCCAGCTTTGCTGAATATGTGATCAATAATGTCACTCTATTATGGAAATCTTAATCACCATTTCTTACAAAACAGCCACATCTTTAGTCATCATGTATAGTCAGTGTATTTGTTATATGTCAAATTAAACACAGGTTTTAATTGCTGTGGATGCTAATTTTCTCTTCAGAACATATTTTTTTTTTCAGTTGTTTTGGAAATATAACAAGTTTGGCATACGCAGTTTCTGGAGCAGTAATTGAGAGAAAAAGTATGTGCAGCTCCCTTAAAACAGATCAGGGCTGATAAATAGTTAAGCTGTGTCTTGGACTGCCCTGAATTATGACCAATAATATGTGAGAAATGTCACAATAATAAAGCATTTTTCTGGTTTTATAGTGTACAAATAGACTGGGTTATCAAAAAATTATTATAACGTCCTCCTAGATTATAAACTCATTTGTGCCTTCTTCACTTGATCTATCTGTTAACATTATTTTTGTCTGTCGATTACTTTTTTGTTAAACGACATCCTTGTATAATTGTAAGTTATGCTAAAATGTTGGCTTTACAAATGATGTTAATAACAATACATAGTACATAAATGTTTTTCTTGGGGTTTGTATTTCTAATTCCCTTTCTGTAGTTCTATGTGATTTCTACACACTATACAATTTTGAGCTCGAGTGTGTCTACTGCATGCTGAACAGGACAGGAATGGTGAGTGTCCACAAGGTGTGTATAATATCTATTCTTTGGTTTGATGATATATCACTGTAAAATTGTCTGAGAATGGTTCTAAACGTAAAAATCAGGAAGTTTACAGTACTGAATTACATGCTCCAATTTTAAAGTTTGCTGGTTTCTTACTTTCCAAGGTTGATGATCCCACGCGGAATTCCCGTAGGGGTGCTGAATGCTGGTAACAATTTCTGTCCAAGACCAATAGCTTTTTCCCTGAAAACCTGAAAAATATAGAATTCACACTGACTGCAGAGACCTTAACCGAGACAAATACAGAGAATGTTTAATAACAGGCCAAATATGTGGGTTATAAAATAAGTATCACATAGGATTGCCAAAATTGAAAAAAAATAGGCCTAATTATTATAATTTTTTATTACAAATCCACTTTTGTTAATTTTGCTGTTCTCTGCAATTTTGCTGTTCACTCTTCAGTAAATAAACACCACATGGTTATTCATTTCAGTGTGGATTATCGGGTATTCAAATGAAACTTAAAATTAAATCCTAATTTTACAGCAATTTGGGCTGCTAACCAATACCTTTGGCAGTAACCCCTGAGTAAAGACATTGGCCACAGCAGTTATTTAAACTGATCAGCTTGTTTAATCTGTAACCAAAGCAACACCCCATGCACCATAACCACTACAGCTAAACGTAGTGGTTTTGATGCCAGGAGTGCCTTGATGCTCCACCATTATGAGAAGTGAAACGATTTTTGAAAGGTTTGACTTTTCATCAGTGGTCCCTGCTCCACACCTCCTCTTCCATCTCCCAAGAGCAAGAATTTCCTCAGCAGTAACATTCTTCAGCTCTCCTGAGTGAAACCCTGCAATGCACAACTTATCTTATTGGCTGAGAGTGTCAGCTGATCACTCTCAACCAATGAGCTAATCTCTGCATTGCAGGGCTCAGTGGAGCTAATGGAATTAGTAATGGAGGGCATCCCCTGGCATAACTCTGGTAAGTAGTCAAACCGCTCAAAAATGGCTTGACTAATGACAATGGGAGGAGAAGTGAGCTATAGTAATTATGGTGCCTGGAGTGTTCCTTTAAGCTTGAATTGAAACCAGTTGCTTCCTGGTGGGAAGCAGACAGGTATCACTGTACTAATTTTGCCATTCTTTTCCCATATGTCTTCACAACAACTCTGCCGAGTCTTAGATTAAAATATTGTAGGAGACCCAAGTGCTAAGTGTTTCCACTTTAACTTCAGTTTGGGTGCATCGCAACTGATCCAAAAAATAAAAAACAACAACAAAAAAACTGATTTTAGATTTAAGTAAATGCTATCTTTTATCTAACCCGAAACCTCAGCATGTGTACTCGTGCTAACCTTTATTCTGCATCAATCTCTTTCTTTCTCCTGACTATAGGAGTCTTCCTGTCACATATTCATCCGCTTATAGAAATGTGGTTAATGACATTTACTGTCCACACAGGAAAAGTTGTGCCGAGCAGCAACCTAATCCACAGAAGGGTTAATGCTGAGCAGTAATTGTGCAAATGAAACCTGGTGTCATGTATTCATCCGCTTAGAGAAAAGTGATTAATGACATTTACTGTCCACACAGGAAAAGTTGTGCCGAGCAGCAACCTAATCCACAGAAGGGTTAATGCTGAGCAGCAATTATGCAAATGAAACCTGGTAACTGACTTTGGGGTCAAAGGCCGGTTACAGCCTATCAGAACTAAAGGAGGGGTATTTAGGCCCAGTTCTCAGCCTGCTCAGTGCCCTGTCGTGGTTTCCCTTGTGGTTGTCTGAGAGCGCGTTCCTGTTTATAGTTTTCTACCTGGTTTTTGACTTTGGCTTTGTTTATTGACTTCTCTATATTCTGGTATCCTGACTCCTGGCTTTCCTCATCGCTGTGTCCCTTTCTGTGTTCCCTGACCTCGGCTAGTATTTTTGACTATTCTTTGTACGTTAAATCCGGCCATTCTAAGGACCGGTAATACGTTACTTATTTGTCATCCGTGCTGTACAGTTCTACGTGTTGGATCAAACAGTAATCCTGACATTACGACATGGCCATAGATCCTGTAGAACTGTGTCAGCACATAGCTGCTTGCGAGAGGAAATTAGAGGAGAATGATCACCGCATGGATCAATTCACTCAGGCTTTAAGTACGCTTCTCGCTAGAACGGGGCATCTGCAGCCTGCAGCGTCTCCTCCTATAGCACCTCTACCCTGTGTACCTCCACCCACTGTTAATAGGACTCCTTGCATCTCCTTATCACCATCCCTACAGTTTGATGGCAATATCCAGGAATGCAGGGGTTTTCTTAATCAGGTGGAGTACCATTTTGAGGCCTCACCAGGGTCATTCCCCACGGACAGAGCAAGAATTGGTTATCTAATGAATCAATTAAAGGGCAAGGCCCTTGCCTGGGCTAATCCGTTGTGGGAGAGTAATCGGAGCATAGCTCATAATTACCAGGAATTCCTTGCCGAATTCAAGCTCACGTTTGAGCCATTGGGTAGAGAGGATGACGCCTCCACTGCCCTAATGCACACCAGACAAGGTAACCGGTCTATCTCGGATTATGCTATTAAATTCCGTACCTTAGCTTCTGAGGTAGACTGGACTAACAATGGGTTAATCTCAGCATTCAAAAAGAGTCTCTCAGAGACTATACTAGATGAGATAGCCGCTAAAGAATTACCTAAGAGTCTTAACGAATTTATTACGTTTGTCATGCATATTGATAATAGGTTAAGACTCAGGGAAGTCACCAGAAGCAAGACCAGACGTACGGCTATGTCCCTAACACCTCAATTCTCTAAACCTGTTTTGTCTAACCTCCCTGTACAGTCCGAACCCGAACCTATGCAGTTGGGGGTCACTAGACTGTCAGAGGCCGAAAAACAGTATAGGAGAAGGGAGGGGTTATGCCTATATTGCGGTAGAAAGGGACATATGATAACTAATTGTCCAGTGCGTCCGGAAAACTTCCGCACCTAAGAACCTTAAGGGGACAGATCTTAGGTGTGATGGAGTTGTCCTCTAACAAAAACAAAAGTAGATTCCTCCTTGAGGTATCTATTTCCCTTGATAACAAGAAGTTTTCTTGCAGTGCCCTAATGGACTCAGGTGCTGCTGGAAATTTTATTGATGTCCAGTTTATTAGGGGTAATGAGATACCGGTCAGGGAGAGACCTACGCCGCTAGCTGTAGAGGCTATTGATGGTAGACCACTCACACAACCGCTTATAACCCACGAAACTGTCCCTATTACGATCTCCATTGGGGCCTCCCATAGGGAGGAGATGACGTTTCAGGTTATTACTTCTCCATCATGTCCTATCATATTAGGGTTTCCGTGGCTGAGTAAGCACAATCCCTATATTGACTGGGCTAATGGGGAGATATTAGAATGGGGTAAAGAGTGTATGGGGAGATGTATAAAACCAGTACTAAAGAGATTGGATACTATTGACCTTCCCACTACCACTCCCCAAACTCCTGGAGTTCCCATACAATACCGAGAACTTCAGGAGGTGTTTAACAAGGCTCAATCTGATGTATTGCCTCCCCACAGAGCATATGACTGTGCCATCAACCTGTTTCCAGGCGCTATGCCACCTAAGGGGGCAGTTTATGCCTTATCTCCCCAGGAGAGTAAAATAATGGAGGAATACATCAAAGAATCCTTGAGCAAAGGGCACATAAGAAAGTCAATCTCACCAGCTGGTGCAGGATTCTTTTTTGTTGAGAAAAAGGGTGGTGAGTTACGCCCTTGCATAGACTACAGGGCACTTAATAAAATCACTGTAAAAAATGCATACCCTATTCCACTCATTTCCAAATTGTTCGATAGACTTCAGGGAGCTAAAGTATTTACTAAGCTTGACCTTAGGAGCACTTACAATTTGGTTAGAATTAAAGAGAATCATGAGTGGAAGAAGGCATTTAATACCCATAGTGGACACTATGAATATCTGGTAATGCCATTTGGGTTATGCAACGCCCCGGCCGTATTCCAAGACTTTATAAATGATGTACTCAGGGAATTCATTTACTCATTTGTCTTGGTTTATTTGGACGATATTTTGGTGTATTCCCCTGATCTTCAAACTCACCACTCCCATGTGAAACAGGTTCTGCAGACGTTGTTGAAAAATAAACTTTATTGTAAATTAGAAAAGTGCATATTTGACCAGCCTGAAGTCCACTTTTTGGGTTACAACATCTCTGCATCGGGATTTCAAATGGATCCTAAAAAACTAGAGGCTGTACTACACTGGCCATTACCCTCTGGTTTAAAAGCTATTCAAAGGTTTATTGGTTTTGCCAACTATTACAGAAGATTCATCAAGGGATTTTCTTCTGTAATAGCCCCAATCACAAATATGACTCGCAAAGGGGTTAGTAGCACGGTATGGTCCAAAGAGGCTGTGAATGCTTTTGAGACTCTTAAACAAAGATTTGCCTCTGCGGACATACTAAAACATCCTGACACCAGTAAACCTTTTATATTGGAGGTTGATGCATCCAAGACAGGGGTAGGGGCTGTTCTCTCTCAGAGAGAAAGCCAGGGAACACCATTGCATCCTTGTGGCTACTTCTCCAGAAAGATGTCTCCTGCTGAGCGCAACTATGATATTGGCAATAGAGAACTGTTGGCCATTATTCTTGCCCTCAAGGAGTGGCGACATCTTTTGGAGGGTTCCAAGGACCCCCTGTTGATCATAACCGACCACAAAAATCTGGCATATATAGGGGATGCCAAACGTTTGTCTTCCAGACAGGCTAGATGGTCACTGTTCCTTTCACGTTTTAACTTTCTCATTACTTATAGACCTGGTTCTAAAAATACCAAGGCTGATGCCTTGTCCAGGCAATTTGATAATGAGTCAGCTCCGGAACAGATGACATCTCCTATTATTCCACCAGAGTGTATTATTGCTACTACTGTCCTCTCACTGTCTTCTCCACTGCTTGGCACCATACTGGAGGCCCAGCCTCAGGCGCCCAGTGGTAAACCGTGTGATAAACTGTTCGTTCCCCTATGTGAAAGGGTTAATATCATGAAAGTGTTCCATGACAATATAACTGCTGGACACCCGGGCATCAATAAGTCCACTGCCGCGATCACTAGATCATTTTGGTGGGATTCACTCAGGAAAGATGTAAAGGAGTATGTGCAGGCATGTTCTGTGTGTGCAGTTTCTAAGGTGACTCATGCACTTCCTTGTGGCCTGTTGCAGCCTCTTCCTGTTCCTGAGATTCCATGGTCCCACCTATCCATGGACTTTATTGTTGAGCTTCCTAGCTCTGCTGGGTTCACTACTATTCTCATGGTTGTAGACCGATTTTCTAAGATGGCTCACTTCATTCCTCTCAAGAAGTTGCCATCTTCGCAAGATTTGGTCCTAATTTTCATACGTGAAATTGTCCGTTTGCATGGCATCCCCCACAATATTGTGTCTGATAGGGGCTCTCAGTTTGTGTCCAGGTTCTGGAGGGCGTTCAGTAAACAATTGGGGATTGATCTCTCCTTCTCCTCCTCCTACCATCCACAGACCAATGGTACAGCTGAGAGGGCTAACCAGTCATTAGAAGTTTATTTGCGTTGTTTTATTAATAGCACACAAGACAATTGGTCCGAACTACTCCCGTGGGCCGAGTTCGCTAGAAACAATGCTGTTCATGACTCCTCTGGGCACAGTCCATTTTTTGTCAATAATGGTAGGCATCCTACGGTTCTCCCTGCGGTATTTTCTGATACTGCCATTCCTGCTCTGGATGAGCGTCTGGCCTCCATTCGGGATACCTGGGTTAAGGTTCAAACTGCTCTAGGGGCTGCTGCTGAACGCTTCAAACATTTTGCTGATAAGCGTAGGAGTGCCAACCCGGTGTACCAAGTGGGGGACCGGGTTTGGTTGTCATCTCGCAACATCAAGCTTAAGGTCCCTAGCATGAAGTTTGCCCCCAGATTCCTTGGTCCCTATAGAGTGCTCGTAGGATCAATCCAGTGTCTTACTCTCTGGCTCTTCCTGCATCTTTAGGGATTCCCAACACTTTTCATGTGTCCTTACTCAAACCTCTTGTCTGCAATAGATATACTGTTCCTTGTGTTCCTCCCCCTCCGGTGGTGGTGGGTGGTCAGGAAGAGTATGAGGTATCTTCTATCGTGGATTCTAGGTTTTCTCGGGGCACTTTACAGTACTTGGTTGTTTGGAAAGGTTACGGTCCTGCTGATCGTTCTTGGGTTTCGGCTCCTGACCTGCATGCGGGCCGTAAGATCCGCGCTTTTCACGCTAAATTTCCTCTCAAGCCTGGTCCTGTCCGCCCGGTGGGCGTTCTTCAGGTGGGGG